TTTTTTTTTTTTTGAGACGGAGTTTCGCTCTTGTTACCCAGGCTGGAGTGCAATGGCGCGATCTCGGCTCACAGCAACCTCCGCCTCCTGGGTTCAGGCAATTCTCCTGCCTCAGCCTCCTGAGTAGCTGGGATTACAGGCACGAGCCACCATGCCCAGCTAATTTTTTGTATTTTTAGTAGAGACGGGGTTTCACTATGTTGACCAGGATGGTCTCGATCTCTTGACCTCGTGATCCACCCGCCTCGGCCTCCCAAAGTGCTGGGATTACAGGCGTGAGCCACCGCGCCCGGCTATCATAAGTTTATGTTATATCATAATGGGATGAATGTTGTACATGAACAGATTCAGAGAAAAGTAGGAAAATATTTGCAATAAATACAGTCAAAAATCTTTAATATAAAAAAGTGGAATGAATATTAAAATATTAGCATATATTCTCCAATTAATTTTCTGTAAATAGTGTTTTTATGTAGTCAAAGACGATATGTAGTTAAGTATTTATGGCTGAAAAGTAATTCACTTTGACTAATGATGATCATTAATCTGTGTTGTTTTTTATCCTACAGACGTAGCAGTTGGTTCTTTTCGGTCTGATTCTGCTGTATTGCTAAGGTAAGACTGATATATTTTACTGCTTAATGACAATTTGGTTTAATTGTAAATGATAGAAGGCATTGTTTAAAATCGGCAGTGATAGTGACCTCATGATGTTCTTTTGGTATTTGGAAGTTTAATTATTGAACTTGAGGGTATTTTTTTCACCTTACATAGATATAATTAAATCATCAAAGTCAATGTTTTAAGACATTTAAATAAAATTTCTTTACCTCTGTTAACAGAAATTAGAGTAATTAGTATGTACACACGTAATAAGGAAGACTCATGAAATTACTTGATGAATGTAAACTGACAAAACAAATACAGTTATCTTCTTAAGGAAAACTAATTCTACAATTAACATTGTTAATTTTATTTCCTTCTTAGGACAAGACCTGTAGTAATTGTTGAAGCTTCTTTAAGCCACCCCGAGTCAGTAAATAGAACAAAATTTGACTGTGTTGAAAATGGATGGCCTTCTGTGTGCATGGATCTAACACTTTGTTTCTCATATAAGGGCAAGGAAGTTCCAGGTTACATTGGTGAGCATGCCTCATAGAATTAATGCTTGATGGTATGCAGTTCACTCATTAATCCCACATTCCTGTTTGTAGCCCTCACTGGTTTTCACCAATGGAGCTCTTCTTGAGAGCAGGGGAGAGAAACCACCTGATGCATACTCTTCCTCTTCATCTTCCAGATTCTTGCTTTGTTCTAACCAATGAGTTGGGCACATTAGAAGGCTGTAGTTGTTTAGAGATTATGGCAAGAAGCAAAGGACATAGTATCACTTGCCATATTATTTTAAGGAAAATCAACTGAGCTTAACCTGTAAAACCGCTTTCTTCATATTTTATCCTATTTCAGTAATTGAAGAAAGCCAGGCATGGTGGCTCATGCCTATAATCCCAGCACTAAACGAGGCTGAGGCTAGAGCCCAGGAGGTCCAGGCTACAGTGAGCTGTGATCACACCACTGCATTCCAGGCTGGGCAATGGAGAGATACCCTGTCTCAAAAAATTATAATCATAAAAATAAATATTAAAAAACTGAAACTAGACCTGATTCTAATTTCTATAAATAATACGCCTGTTAATAATTTACTGACTACAAGTTCCTGAGAACCATACCCATTTTCCTATGTATAGGCAACTCTCAATTATCTGCTGTGGAGAAAGTATCATTGACACAGCTCATCCAAAATTGTGGTGGGGAATCCCAAATCATGTATAAGTGATTTTATACATATTATATTTTTGCTAGCAGATTAATGTTCCTAATTATGTTTATTTAGGCTAAATATAAGAATAATGAAAGTAGCCTGTGGTAGGAGAAGAGCATACCTGGGATTAACATTTGGAGTTTAATAATTCATAAAGTTTATGATCCCCTATTAGGACCTGTCAAGAGTTTATCGTATTCATGACCCTGCAGGCTGCTTTCATCTAAACAACATGAAAGGCCCACACACTTATTAAGTCATACCATGGATATGTAATAGAGGTCTTAGTATGTATTAGCTTGTAATGAAAGGTACACAATGAGCCTGGTATCTCTATTTTAGATCAGAGTCACTTTTAATAGTGCCCTGGAAAAGTCATGGCCAGAGCTACAGTAATAAGAGGGTGGGCAAGCCTTCATCTAGTTATTGATTGGAAAATGGCATTTTGAGAGCATGACATCAGAGTAAATTACACATTAACACAGACAAGCTGATGGATAATCTGAAAGACACACATTGAGTAGATGGGGCTCTTTCCCTTTATGTAAAACCAGTTTCCTCTACTAACAATTCCATTGTGACCAGATATTTTTAAAAATAGTTGAAGACAAACATATAAAACCCATAAATAATCATCACATTATTAGAGAAACATACCTTATAATTATCATAAAATGACTCTTGGTAGAAATAATTCACATTAATTACCTAAATGTTTAATAAATCCAGGACATTTTGACTCTGAGAGTGGATTATTTTCACCTCTTTTTCATTTACTCTTTTTCTGAACTCAGGGCAGTGAACTTGTAGACAGCTATTTTAGTTGCAGTGCTTTGTCTATGAGGTATTGAATCTCAGTTATAATTTTGAAATCCAATTGGCTTGGACTTTATTATTTTCCAAATAAAAAGATGATTGAAGGATTTATTTGAAATGTATAAAGAGTAATATAGATTTTATATTTATGTTTCATTGAAGTAAGTGGGTAAAATTCTTCTAGAAGTATAAGTCACTCCTAAAATAAAAATGAACATGTCAAGAATTATGTAAATTCTTTAAACTATCACTTACGAATTATTGCCTCTATATAATGAGTGACACCTCAGCAGACTATTAGATTCAGCTTGCATTGCAAAGAACCCATTTAGATTCATGAAATTGTTCATATTTTCTTGGTAAGATCTGGCTTGGAATTTTTTGTTTGCTTTTAAAATTTTTCTTTTTCTTTTCTTTGTCTTTTTTTTTTTTTTTTTTTTACTAATTTGGAGATCTTCATGAGCACATAAGTATTTATTATGCCAGATTTGAAATAAACCCTGCCAAACAGCTAGAATATTTGAGAGAATTTTTTTTAATTGCACAAAATAACACTGGAAGGTCAAACCAGAAACCAAAAAAACACAGAGGAAGAACAGATAATCAGGGCATTAAGACTGGAAAGAAGACATTTTTGAGAAAACCGTATTTATAGATTTGACTTAACCATGTATTCATGTATATAAAAAAGCAAGCCTTCAAATCAGAAACAAACAAATGAGTCTTAGATATGAAAAAATTAGTCATATATAAAATTAGTCATATAACTGCATCAGATAGAAAACACAGAACTATGTCTATACTTCCTTAGTCAATGTTCTGAGGACAAAAAGGTCTCCAAAGGAATATGAAACTTTATGCAAGACTTTTATTAGCAACAATTTTTATATTTTTTGAAATTTTTATTTATAAAAGGATTAAGCAAATAACTAAAGATTTTAATGTTAATAGAAACCTAGAGGTAGAGGAAAGTTTGTAAAACTTTATTTATAAAAACAATTTTTAAAATTTGTATGTTAATTGTTCCCTCTTTTATATTTCAGGTTAGTTTTTAAAAAGCTGTTTAATAAAGAGAATTCCAGATACTAATATTTCCAGTAGTCTGTATAACTTTGACTATTATCACTTCAAAAATAACAATAGAAGCATTAGGTAATTAGATTAATGCAATTCTCTGTATTTTTGCAGTTTTGTTTTATAATATGAGTTTGGATGTGAACAGAAAGGCAGAGTCTTCATCAAGATTCTATTTTTCTTCTAATGGAACTTCTGATGTGATCACAAGAAGCATACAGGTGTCCAACAGAGTAGCTAACTGTAGAACACATCAAGCATTTATGCGGGTAATGTAAACTATTTTTTATTAATATGTATGTGAACTTCAACATTGTCAACAGAGAGCAACTTATTGTATTGGTATCTTTTTATAAAATGTAGATAAAAGCAACTGTTACCTACCCCTAACTATGACCTGTTGTTCCAGTTAAAGTATTAGACAATCTCAACCCAAGTGATTTAGAGTCGTCTTATTGTATTATCCTTTTTCACATTTATCACATTTGACCTCATCATTTGAAAACACTGCCTTTTCCTTTCTAAAATTTCAATTTGCCTATCTCTGTTTATCTACTTGCCTGAAATGTACACTTTCATAGCTCTGAGCCTCAGATCTATTTCATGGTACATTTTGAGGGGGTGGGTCAGTGGGGCAGGGAAGTTAGTTTGCTTTTCATATGACTCCAACAAAGCAGAATCCAACATGACTGCTTCTGGATTATGTCTTTGTCTCTGTGCCAGCTTTGTCAGTGATGTCAGTGGGAATTTGCACAGTTGTAACATGGTGGGGATCATCTGTGGGCCAGGACGACGGCTCTCATGATGGTTTGGGGTATGTCCTGCCAAAGCACAGCCGATTTCATGTTTCTTTTATTAAAACACTCATTCCCAAACTGATTGTCGCACTCCTCACATTGGTCAAATTTTATCATATGAAGCTGTGCCAGGTCTTTTTCATTAGGGAATGGTGTACTTCATCAGAAAATCTATTGTCACAAAAAGCCAAACTATTCCCAGGAGTCCTTTCTGGGATTTCAAATAGTTGCTTCAGCTTAGGGCTTAATTTTCCCTTAGATACTTATTCCAAGCAAATGCAAGCAAGCATCAAGACTCCAATATGCTATTAAATGCTAAAAGCAATAATCCCCATGCTATTTCCTCATTTCCCTTAACAGTTTTTATTGTTGCACTAGAATAAAGCTATTAGATGGTTTGGAGCCAAAAGTATAGAATATTAATGTAACCATCATTTATGTGGTAGGAATTAAAGAGGTTCTTTTTCCCATGCTTCATAGATGTTGTTTTATTTACCTTAGTCAATTGTAGAGACAAATATTGAGACCATTTTAAAGGGAATAGAAAGGCCAACATTAGATATTCACAAAGAAAAACATGGTGTTAAATTTGTAAAAGTGATCTCGTTTATTCAGTTCTGTGTTTCTTGGCATCATTCCTATAAATAAGAGATCATCAAAATTGTATACCTTTTTTGGAATAAATTTGTAGCAGAAATAATTAACAGAGGTAAGTGTTTCTCTGCATATGTATTTGTAGTATTACCATGGTTTTGATGGCAGCAAGATTCAGCCATTGCCTTTGTACCATATTGAAAATGTTAAATGATAGCATTTACTACTGGGATTGTACATAGCAGAGACTTTTTAAAAAATGGTTGTTTCCTTCAGTATCTTTTTCTCTTCCTAAGTTACCTTGCTTGTGTTTGGAACACTTTTAAAACTCGTAGATAGAAAGCCATAAACTTACTCCAACCTTCTCCTTTGTAACATACCCACACAGAAGACAAGAATCACAATTGCAGCTACCCTGAACTTGAATTCTGTCAAGGATCCGTAGCTGTTACTTAGGAAGGTGTAGGAATGTAATGAGTGTACTTTCCTACCTCCACCAGGGTGGTAGCGCAAGTCATTAGGAAACATTAATACTCAAAAGATTCTACAGTCTGAAAGAATAGGACAGCAACTTGAATTCTTCCATCTTCCCAATAATACCACAGAAGATGAACAGCCGTCAGGATGCCTGGGTTGTTCCTGTGTTCCATAAAATGCATCCAGTACCAGAAGTGGGAGTGTTAACATATATGTCTAGTTTATCTCTGCACTCTTTACAATGAAATGAAGTGACACTTGTGAATTGTGTACTCAGGCCCACAACCCTCACTTGTCAGAGGACTCCCTGCCCGTCTGTTGGTTGGGGATGCTTTACTTACATAGTTGTCCCTACTGACCATTTACTCAACTAATTTGATATTTAGTGAATACCTATAGTGTATCAAATTCTGTATACATCAGTGAATAAGACATAAAAAGATTAGTACCCTCATGGAGCTTAGTCTACTGGGGCGAGACAAAAAATAATATGAAAATATACATTTTATAGTATTTTGGAAGATAAGGGTGACAAATGAAAAAGGAAGGCAAAGTACAGAAATGTGCAGTGCTAGAGAAGGAGTGGCATGTAAAATTGTAAATCAGATATTCAGAGTAGGCTTCATTCAGAAAGTGATATCTGAGCAAAGACTTGAAGGAAGTAAGGAAGTTGCCCACATAGATATCGAGGGCAGGTCATATGTTTAGGGTATTACAGCCACAACACCTGTTGGGCTTCTTAAAACACAAATTGCTGGCCCCCATCTAGAATCCCTTAGTAGGTCTGCAGTGAGGCCTGAGAATTTGCATTTCTGCCAAGTTTCCAGGGGACACATACTTTGAGAACCCCTGGTCTAGGAGAAGAGTATTCTAGCAACAAAAGCGGAGTCAAAATACCTAAGAATGTACCTGGTTATTTTAAAGGACAATGGGGGGAGGCAAGGATGGCTAGAAATGTAAGCAAAGGGAAGAATGGTGGGAGGAGAGATCACAGGGAACCTGTGGCTTTTTCTCTGAGAGAAAGGAGGATCTATAACAGCATTTTGACAGAAGTCACATGATCTAACACAGCAGCACTGTAGCTGCCGTGTTGTGAATAGAGCAGGAGATCAAGGGTCCACCCATGGAGAAGAGGCTACTGCAGTAACGTAGGTGAGAGATGTTTCCAACAAAACTGGTGGTGGTAGATGTGGTAAGAAGTAGTTGAAGTCAGTTTGCTGACATCCAGTTTAGAAAGAGAGGCTCTATGATGACTCCAGGATCTTTAGCCTGAGCCACTAAGAGAATGTAGTTTTCATTAACTGAGACAATATTGCAGGAGAACACCTTTTGAGTGGAAAATTCTAGAGTTCAGTTGTGGGTCTGCTTAGCTAGAGACACCTATTTTAAATGTAAATATCAACTAAGCTTTTGTATATTCTTGAGTTGAGGAGAGGCAGAGAACAGGAAAGGTAACTTAATATATCTTTGGCATATGGATGGTATTTAAAGCTATATAAGATGGCTGAGATCAGAAGAGGGCCAGCGTCTGCACTCTGGGCCACTACATGAAGAGGTTGGCGAGAAGAGCCTGCAGAGGAGTTGAGAAGGACCAACCAGTAAGAAAGGAAGGAAGTCAACAGTGTGGTGTGTCCTGGAAATGAAGCTAATAAAGGAAAGGGAGAAAGCATGATGATGTTTTTTATACTGCAGCTTGATCGAGTAAGATGAGGGCTGAAAACTTACCATTGGATTTACAATGTGGAGGCTGTTGGTGTTGGTGACAAAGGCATTTCAGACAAGTAGTAGAGGAAAGGAGAGGAATCAGAAATGATATAGGCTATTCTTTCACAAAGTTTTGGCCCAAAGGTGACCAAAGAAATGGAGTTTGGGGGTCAGTAGCTGAAGTGGAGTGAAGAGTTTTCTGGGTTTTTGTCTTTTAAGACGGGAGAAGCATTAGCATGTTTTTATGCTGATAAGCATGCTCCAGTAGAGTGAGAAGCTTGGGATACATGTGACAGGGGAGAAGAACTGGAACTAAATTCTTGAAGGCAAGAAGGGAAGGATTAAATGTACAAATGAAAGGGTTGGTTCTAGATAGGCACGTGCCTGGTTCATCTGAGTATGTGCTTACAGATGCTGGGTAGATGTGGTGATGGAGACTATGGAAGTTCTCATCTGATTGCTTTAATATTCTCTGAACTAAAGCAAACTCATCAACTAGAGTAGGGATGGAGGAAGTGGTATTTGGAATTTGGGAAGAAGATGTAAAATAGTTTTCTAGGAGAACGTGAGAATAATGAAATAATACAAGATGATTGTCAGATGATGTTTCAAAAATCTAGATGGTGTTCAGGACCACTTGCACTCATAAAGTGAGTGTAACTTGTGTGGTGTGGTTTTTTTCCAGTCATGTTCAATCTTACAGGCAGGAGTGGATGAAGAGTTACAATTAACCAGGGTTTTGGTTTGGTCAAGAGAATAAATTGAAGCAGGCTAAGGAGGGGGCACACCAAGAGGGTAAGGGACCAGGAAAGAAATTTGCATTGGAGATCCCAGTATGATCAATTGTCGGAATTGACTATTAAAGGGATCAAGCTGCAAAGATTTCATAGATATTATAAAATATAAAAGCCCTTGGAGACTTAAAGGTGAGGAAAAGGTTGAATTTTGCTTTTATTTTTGCTCACAATTCTTTGATTACCTCATGCAAATGAAAGTCTTTAAACTTACTTTTACTTGCAAAATCCATTACGTTCTTTGATGATAGGGAATTTGGCTATCAAAAACATTCCAGCTCTTAAGTTTGTGTAAAACCTACGTTTTAAAAAAAATCATTCTTTTTTAATCACAGTTCTTTTGTTTTATGCTAGATCTTCTTGGTCTGGAAGTGGCGTTTTTAGTAATCTAATAAGGATCTATATTAAGCTGGCATCTAGATTTTTGTTCTGGTATGTTATTTTTCTGAGGCCATGTGTTCATTTATCTAGTTGGTAAGGGAATCAGTTTTCTTAAGTCTAATCAAAATTAAAATATTATCACACAGGATTACTTGATTGGTAATTTTTTTCCTCATAAGATAAGGAAACATCTTTTTTTTTCTGCTTTAAAAAAACCGTTGTATTTTAGTTGATTATAATTATGTCAAGCTTTAATTTTTGCCGTTAAAGCCATACAATTGTTAGATTTTGCTAAGTAGAACGTAGAATTTAACTTTGAGAGTTCATAATGCTGCTTCTGTAATAGAAGGGAAATAGTTAATTTCATTTATACCTTTTAGTGTTTTATCTATTGAAATCCTCTTCTATTAGACAACACATTGTACTCTATGAAAAGATGTTTCCCCATTCATGTAAGTATATGAAAATCTTTGGTTTTGCTTTATTTAAATATACAGCTTGATCAAATTTTAGAGATTTCTT